ATAATGAACACAGCTTTTTAAAGAGTCAAAACTATAGAATCACTTTACCGTCAAGATAATTTTATCCAGAAATTAATATCAAGACTCAGAAATCCTCTCATCACTTCTAAGCTTTTATAAACCGAATTCTTTTATGAAATCATCAATCAGCCAAATTCATAGTTATTTTAATTTATTAAGCAATTACCATTGATTGAATAAATTGATGAATATGAATCAAGAAAATCATTTATTTTATTTTTTTTATTTTAAATTGCCATTATTTAGTTAATATAAACTCAAACTCAGTTTTATTTTTATAAATTACATTTTTTTATTTAATGACCAGAATTAGTATGTAATTTATTTTTTCAAATTGTTTATTTGTTCTAAAAAATAAATTATCCTTAATTCATCTTTCTCATTAGAAATAGAAAAGAAAGCATTGGGATTATATTAATTGCAACAAGATAGTTCTAATTATTTTTGTTCGTAATTTTAACATTTTATTAAAAATTAACTTTTAAACATTTATTATAAATTTCATACAATTTGTTAAAATTAAATAAAATGATCCATTAAATGAAGCCCATGAAGTTAAAATTAATCCTTGGTATTTGAATATAAATTCTATGATATATTAAAAATAAATTGTTAAAATTTGAAGGATTCAAAATCCTTTCTTTTTCTAAATTATTTTCTAGATTATTATTATTCAATTATCATAAATAAAAATTACTTAATATTTCTTATTTTTTTAAATGTTATTGAATCCAGAGCTTACTATTTTCTTGTCATAAATTTTGACAAGAAGTCAAATTCAAATCCAAAAAAAGTTATTAAGGAAATGAGGAGGATCCCGAATAGGAAAGGAGATTGATTTAATTATAAGAGCAATTACAAAAGATTAATAGCAAAGAGGTAATAATCACTTGCTATTTAAAAAATATAATAGGTATTTATTTCTATTATGTTAATTTTTTCAAAAAAATTAGTAACCTATAATTATAATAAAAATTTTCATCATTTAACATATCGATTTTTTTTAATCATCTAAAAAAGTTATGTTTAAACTATAGATATCTTTTTAACAGTTGTTTTTATTTATTTTAGGAACCAGTTAAATTAATATGAAAAAAATTAAGATAAAAATGAACCTCATTGTTATTTTTCAAAAAAACTGTACATCCTGTCTGTATATTATATGTTTATAATTTCAATTTTTTTTTGCCAACAATTATTCTGAGTAAGATATACATGTTCTTTTGGAAAAAACGAATATAAAACTAAATTTTAAGAACGTTTGTTATAATTTTGTAGATTCAATCATTAGATAATTGATAACATTGAAATAAGATTATTTTCTTATTGAACTATATTTTAATTGAAATATGAATGACTAAGAGTTTATTTTAAGGGAGTGTTAAGTATTAAGAATCCTTATAATTATTGGATTTAACTGTAATTAATAATTTCCCATCCTCGATAAAGACTCTAATATGGGAGTCAGAATATTCTTAAGTAAACTTTTCTGAATTCAATATTACGAAATATAAAATTTACTATGCCATATAAATTTGAATTCCATATAAGTAATTTCAAATTTTGTTAAATAAATTCTTTAAATTATAGAAAAAAGTCATCCTTTAAGAAAATGATATATTCTTTAAAAAAATATGTGTATCAAATCAATTTTATATCTTATTGTCAAATTTATGCTTTTATATAAAAAAAGGTTAACTATAAATTGGATTGATATGTTTTTAAATATAGTCATTTCTATTTTGATTAAAAAATTAGTGATATAACTTAACATCAATACTTATAAATATATTGATTTTAATCAAAAACGAAAGAAAGACAAAATAACCTTAGTTTAGTTTATAGCATTAATAATCATACGAAATTATTAACTGTTTTAAAATATTATCAATTATTAGCAAATATTTATTTAATAAAAATTTATATCATTTGATAAAATAAATTTTGTAGAGTAGTACACCAACCATGTAAAATAAAAATACAGTCATCAAATAAGATTTTTTATAAAAAATTAATAAGATAAAAGAGAATAAGTTCAATTAAATTCATCTTTTTCAATAGCTAGATCTTCAAAATACTATTTTATAATAATAATATTATTCATAGAATATGATTGTCATCAAAGTTAATTTAAATGGATATCTAGATTTGAACAAAACTTTAATATTTATGAAATTGAATATTAAGATAGTCATTATTACTTTTGCAACAATATGATAAGCTTATCTGGCTATAAGTATTAAAATCTAGTGTAAATGCTCTTAAAAAACTCAAAACCAATTTAATGAAAATGAATTTTGTTAATGAAATGTGAACTAATCAATATGTGAAGCTTAAGATTGCCAATAATTTACTACTTTAGCTTCTTGTGTTAAGATTTCTTTTAATTTTCATAGAAAGGTACTGAGTGCATACAATATCCTATATGTTCTAATTTAATATCTCAAACTTAATAGTGTTCTTAACAAAATATTCAAAGTTGTATAAAACATTAATAACTCAATCTACTGGGTTTTATTATATTTGAATTTAAATAATTAATTATAGATGATTAAACTTAACACTTTTATTTAAAAAAAGAATCAATGTATATATGAATAAGTTGATTATTAGGAGTGTACAAATTTGAGCATTTAAATTAAGCGCATTTGAAATTAACCAACTTAATTTAATATTAACATGGTATTATTTTTTAGCATTTAAGCCAACTAAACTAATTCTAATAATTTAGATTCTCAATAATGTTCATAAAATACATTAGATACTTATGGATGGGCAGAATCAAGTTGTGTTTCATGTTATGAAGTCAATTTGCAGTTTTAATAATCTCTTTAACTCCAAAATTAATGTTAGCGCTTTCTTTTCTACAATGAATACCTTTTTTTTATAAAATCTTCTTGTATTTGGTCCAATTCCTACTGTTAACCTAAATTTTATTCAAGCATCACTGGATAACTACAATGTACTTCTTATCCTTATTGTCCTTGGTTTAAAAGTCAATGCTAAGAATTAATAGGAGCATCTTAACCAGATTACATAGTGACTGGTATAAATTGTGGAGGGAGTAATAGAACAAATTTGTCTTGATAGCAAAAATTATTAAAATCTTGTTCATCAATCATATCACTTAAACTTTATTTACAAATATGTTAGGGAAAAATGGATAATGCATTTGGTTAAATGGTGGTTGTCAAGTATTAAGAAATTCTTAATATATAAATTAATAGCAAGATTGTTAATATTTTATAAATTAATATTTTTGGAGTAGTAGTATTAGATAAATAATATTTTTATGATACGAGTTATTAGCATATTAATTGTTCAATATTCAATACTCCTAATACATTTTAATACTATTATTAAACTAATAGTATTAATCCAGTCTCTAGCTATTGGGTTTTTAACTAAGGAATTTGCTCTTAGAAGTATGATTATTAAAGAAAATTATCTACAAAAACTCGTTCAATTGTTGACCAAAACCAATGCATTCATGAGTTGCTTCGAGTTGTAAAAATTAAATTTTTTTTTTCTAAACCAACAAAAAACTAGGAATTACATCTCAAAAATAATGACAAAATTTTTAACTATAGAAAATAAATGTTGTAGAGAAAAAGGAATAGCAAGAAAGCAATTAGAATGATAAATAATATGAACAAATATTATCAGAGAGCAAGCAAGAATTTGGGCAGAACATTATTATGAAAAGAGTGGTAGAGAAGTGGAACTGCTAAAGACGCATAAATGACTTCATAAGAGAACAGGATGGATATGGGTGTTTGAGTTCCATCATAAGGATTTGAATGAAGAGGAGAAAAATTCATTGACCAGATGAAGAAGAAAAAAGGAGCTGAAGCACAATAGTAGCAGGATGAAAAATGATATATTATAAAAAATTCAAGAATTAAATTTTTATTTCTTTTAGTAATAATCAATTTCTACTTTAGATTTACTGTCTCTCATCTATTTGTTATTTAATTCCTTAATTTACTATTTCTAATTCACCAGTTAACTTTGATAATCTAAGCAACATTTTTGCCTAAATCAGTTCTTTGCGAACTAGCTTTTTTTCTTAGCTGCATAGCTGCATTTTATTTAAATATCTAAACTTAATCCTTCATTCTGCGAAAATATTTTCTTCCGATTAGTAGGTCTAATTAGAGGATCGTCCTTATGTTAATTAATATTTTACATAATATCATCTTGTGTAAGATTTAATTAATTCTGCGCT